TTGGTAGGATTAGATTAGCATAAACTGAGCTTGCTTTAAATAAACTAAAGAGACAGATGCGTGATGAATCAGACCTTTGAGTTCTGTTTTAGGATTGCCTGAAAGATAAGAAAGAACAGCTGAGGCATATATTAATGCACTGAATGTGAGTCATTTTTTATATTATTGTAGTGATCTCCTGTAAGCAGAAACGAGGCTTGTGCAAATGCCTTTTGAAGAAGTTTATTATAAGCGTCAGCAATCACACAGTCTATAAATGACAGATATTGATTGATGAGTCAAAAGCAAATGTTAGTCACAAACAACATTAGCTAAGTTATTAATAATTACATAACTGAAATTGTGCTTACATTACTTTTTTAATTACTTTGCATGAAAAGTCAATCAATTATTTCATCCAATGCAGTTTAAAATCCCTATAAATGTATAGACAATGGAAATTAAACTTTTTGATTTGTTTAAATTTGAGTTAGTTTATTTTTTTTTTTTTACTTTAAGTGGTTGCAAACAATTTATATGAGCTGAATATAAACAAATGAAGAACATTACTCAATTTAATGTTTAAATTCAGCCCTTATAAATTGTTTGCAACCACTTAATGTAAAAATGTAGTACATCCAATGATTTTTTTTCTGTGTGCTTAAGAAAATCTAAACATATCTATCAAAGCATGACATGTTTAAAAGTGATGACATCATATTTCATACAGTATGTTCCATGTTGTCGTCAACTTCTTACATAGATATATACACTAGATATCGCATACGGACCCTGAGCATGCTTCAATAGCGTCGCCACATTTGTACAGTGCTTTCCCAGGACAAAATGGTCAAGACCAAGACTAAAGCCAATGTAAAGATGCTGGACTTTTGCACTGTGTACGGGTGTTGTAACCAGAAAACAAAGAAAACAAAGCACAAAGGCACAACATTAGGTAAGATTTAGTTTTTTATGTTTTTATTTTATGTTACGAATTTTTGTGCTAAGCAAGTATTGATGAAATACAGTCTCTTACTGCCCTGACCATTGGGCAAAGTAGCACCATACTCAATACCAGGTTAGTACTGTTGAATAAAATCAGCAAACAATGCAAATGAAAAATGACAACAAGATGCTGCGGTGCTAGAAACTTGTATTGTTGTCGGGTAAATGAACAAGTTGCTCATAACAGGGATTCGTTCACAAACGAATCACTCCCTTCGTTAGAATGAGAAGTTAAAGCGGCATAGGGAGGTGTGTTTCAGGACATGGATTAGATCAAATTTAACAGAAAGGGAGGAAAACATATTTCCACGCACACGAAAACTCGCTCTTTGTCAGCAATGCTCATGCAGTCACTTAAATTAAATCACTCAAAATGATCATTTTCGTAATTTAAAAAAAATAATTGCATACTGACCACTGGGAAAACTCCCAATCATGGATATATGTATATATGTGTATATATCTATGGCTCTGCATGGCCAGTCCTCCACTGCACTGTGATCCCACATTCCTTTCAAAGGAGCACTGCTGTGTACTAAAATGGTGGCTCTATTGACGCATTCCTTCTAATTGACAATAACAGCGTAGGCGACATCTAATGTAAATATGTATAAATTTCTAATTGGTTGATTATTTCAATGGGGTATATGCACACAGACTTTACATTTTCAGACAGCTAGCCTGACAGCTTCCAGTGAACTGTCTTTAAGTTATGTCTTTAAAATATAAAAATGTAATTTATGGAATTTCTGCACTCACCTGCTGATGGCGCAAGAGTTTACACTCTTTTCCTCTAGTTTTATGACTGAACAACTAATGCTGACTTCAGACTGCATGACTTTAGCTCCGAATTTGACTCGTCGACAGGTTTTGAGAAATGGCTAACAAATACCTGAAATCACAGGCAAATCGGTGCTCGTTTACAATCACACAGTGTGAACCAAGTGTGCCGCAAGCCTGCGTTTGAGTGAAGGTCTCGGCCGTTAGATCGCCCCCTGGGGGCTGGCTGCAGTACAAGTCATAAAGCCCGCCTCCTCCGTGTTAATGAAGGAGACTTGAGCCCAAATAAAAAAATTTATTACACTTGCAATAAAATGTCCCGAAAGATGGTTCTGGTCGATTAAGGCACTGGTTATTGTGCTGAAATAGGTGCAGATCCTCATTTTTGTAAACAGTTTGTTTTTAGCAGTAATTTAATGCTGGGCGTGTCATCGTCATTGACAGCGGTGATTGACAGTTTCTCAAAGCAGCGCGTCTGAGCTTCGGCAGAATACTGAAGTGTTATTATTCGATTTCTGTGATATTTTACTATGACAAAATGAGTTCAGCAGTAAACTACAGTTTCTGACATACATGATCTGGTGGAACACTGTTTATTCGCTAAGGTCAGAGCTTTTTTCGGGCTTTATTAGTTTGCTAATACACGCCTAGCCACCCAGATAGCAAAATACACTGGGGCCAGTTCTTGCCTGCCGGAGACTTACCCCTCAGACTGACTACCTCTGCTGGACCTACTCCGGATGCCTGGACTCACTGCCCGATTCCAGCCTGAGTCAATTGAGCCAGATGCGGCGGCCGAGCGAGCAGGCGCTGCCGCATGCGAGCCGGAATCAGCCCGCGACGCCGCGACTAGGTTATGCGCTGATGCCCGGAGCTGGCGCGATTGAATCTTCATTATATAAAACCCTCACATTTGTTAACGTTATTACACCCATTTTTGTTGATATAACAACAAACGCATGCTACTATGTGAACGCAAAGTGTATCACTGAGTTTAACCTTTGAATAAAGATGCAAACAGCATAGCAATTATTTAAATAAAGGACAAAATAAATAACAATAAACCTGTATCGATTGCACAAGTATTAAATAATAATAATAATAAATACGAAAATGACAATAAAACTGCACAATAAAATAAACCCATTTAAGTACGGGGTATACAGGAGATCGTTAGCAGTAATTCTCTTTGTGTTTAAATAATAATCTCCACGTTGACCTCCTGTAAGGTTATTTGAACTTGCACGTCTCTGCATTTTAAGTTTTGGCATGTTATTAAGTGATCTACTGAATTTGCTGTTATAAATCATTATAAGGTTCTTGAAATCGAATCTTATATAACCTAATAGAGCTGTAAATGTTAGATATTATTTATTTACATCATTTACTGTTGGCGTTTTATTTGAACACTCCAGCTAACATTAAAAAGAATGTAAATTCCTCGTTGCCAGATATAATGAAGGCATCGAATAAACCAAATGAAAACGGAGGCAAAAAAAAATTAAATAAATAAACAATTCAAGCGAAAATGAATAAACAATATACTAGTGATGTTACAGCAGATAGACGTTGTATTAATAGTGCAAAGTTTTTTTGCACAAATTGACAAATTGCAGGGTTGGGATGTGTAAATATCCTGTTGATATTTAGTAATCTTGCTGTATTTATCTTCTAAACGCACGATTGTTCCCGCATGGTAAATCGTTATGGTGTGTAGGCTATATTTTGGGTTCTGTTGATGGCTAATTAAAAATAAAAACCTTTCTAAAAATGTATGTGTTGTTTATATGTTATTGTTCATATTTTACAAGTGTTATTTCTACCCCTATGAAGATAACAAATACCAACAACAAATATAACAATAAGAGAATATATTATTTGTGCTCATATTCAGGCTAGAGTGTATAAAAGATCGTTTATTTCTGCAGTCCACCATGTATTGCTTTTATTAAAGTTTAACAGCTTACATCACACCGTTTTTAAACCGTATATTATTGTGTTTTTTAATGTAAGTGCTTCTATTTACATCAGTGAGCGTTTGTTATAGTGCAGACACCGGCAGTCGAGTGAGAAGTTCGGGGGGCGTGGTTGATTTTACATAAAGCGTTTGGTTGGAAGCTCGACTCCGCTCATTATCGCGGCTCCTCCTCTGGCTCCATCAGACAGTCCTTCTGCGCATGTCTGGCTCCAATTTCAGCAGTCTTTTGCGACAGTTTGTGCCCGTCAAGCAGGCGTTTTGCCCTCAAGGCGTTCAATGGCAAAAGGGGCTGTCGCGTCGTCCATATTTTTTACAGTCATTGGTGTGAACTATCAAAGACGCAATATGAGAGAATCGCCGATGAGTCGCAGACGCCCATGAAATATTTGGCGTGATAAATATCTGGATCTGTCGGCGGTTCAAATCATGCCGTGTGAAATGAGTTTTGACTGAAATTAACATCGTCGATTACTTATAGCCAATGTCAGAGTAGCATCAACTAGTATGGGTATCTGCAGGCCAGAGGGAGGCTGGGGGAGAAGTTAAAAGTGCTTATTATCAGTTTATTTGGACCCAAGAATTGAAAGAATATTAGTGGAAATTTGACAGGAGCACTGTGTCTGTCTGATGTGTCATCTGAGCAATATCACAACTGGGTTGAAAAGTAAAAAAAAAAAATGTTGAGGAGAAATTGCTAATTCTCCTCAAAAGCCAGGTGAGCAAAATAAGTACATTTTCTGAAGCTAAAGCCTTCTTTTTCCATTATGTAGTTAATAACTAAAGAAATATTACGTGACGTCGCATTGTTTTCATGTCACTTCTGGCGTTTGTTTGGTTGTGAGACGTAGTTTGGACAGTTGTCTGTGATACTTCCTATTGTGAAGTCATGCAGCGTGAAACCCCCTGTCGCCTATCCATCCTACAGTGTAAACACAGCACCGACAGAACGCTACCCCAGATAGTCATGCAGTGTGAAAACATCCATAACATGACTACTTTGAAAATCATGCAGTCTGAACTCGGCATAAATAAAAGCTTAAGTTTATTTAACTGATTGTATTTTAATTACATTACTATGTCAATGCTGTAAAAGAAACTTTATAAACTTTAAAATAGTCACATTAACCTTTCACCGGAAGTTTACCATTGGCTGAAAAACACTAGCTGTGCATATAGTAGGCATGGGTCGGTATTAGATTCTGACGGTATGAAAACCTTGGATAAAAATATCACAGTATTACTGTTTAAAAATATATTATTTTTAAATGTCTGGGTAAAAAAGCTAAAAAAAATTTTTTGCTTTAAACACAATGTATTTTATCTTAAGAAACTTTTAAGATATTTTGGGATAGTAAACATGTCAGGCTTAATGAATCTTTGATTTCTGCTGTCTTCTTTACAGTAGTTTCAAAAACAGATTTCATAACAATTTAAGACGGCATCTTTGGATATCTTTTCTGCTGGAGATACTGTTGTCCTTTAAAACTTCAAACAAAACATAAAAAAAAATTAAATCTTACATATACGGTAGGAACAGTATAGCAGAAAACTTTGGCTACAGAACCTTGACTTTTACAAACCGCGATATTCCTTGAAAACATTTATCATCCCATGCCTAGCATATAGCCCATTCATCAACTAGATAAATGTAACCAACTTTAGTCGAAAAATATAATTATTCAGCAAAATATATATGTATAACAAAAAAAATAATACAATTAATCTGAATATTTAAGGCTAGTTCATGAGTAAATGTAGCTAGATTACCTAAAAATTAAAAGTAATTCCTTACTTTACTTTTGGAAAACTCATATAAATACAGTAACTATTACTTTGTAACTAATTACACCCAACACTGGGCACAAGCAACTAGTAAATAGGCAATAACACTTCCAAATAAAACAGTAAATATGCTTTATGTCTTCAGAAAATGCATGTTTCTTTTAGTTGACGATTTTAAACAAGACACGATTTTAATACGAGGCCTTGGCATGCACAGGCCCCTTTAAAGTGACTTATCTAAATGGGACTTTTGTTAGACTAATACATCAGCTTTGATAGAATTTGTAACTTTGTTAAAAAATAAAATGTTAGGAATTGCAGTGCCGCGCTGTCTGCTCAGATGTCTTTTCCACATTCGGGACACAGAATATCATCTCTCTCTGTCAGGAATCCACGGCCCACCAGAGACACTGAGCACTTCTTGCAGTTGAAGCAGTCGTTGTGCCACTGCCTCTCTTCAAAAGAGATGTATTTGCTTCCTCCCAGACCTGGAAAGCATATGAAGGCAGCAAATTTTAAAGACGATGACTCGCGCTCTGTGCAGCCTTAACTGCAGCTCGTGCTGTTATTGAACAGAGATGAAAGTCACTTCATAACCATAGCAGCCGTTTGTCGACTGAACTAAATTTATTTTTGATGTCTTGGTCACACTGTTTGAAGGGCCGGAACAAAGTGCCTCGGGGGCTGGATTCGGCCCGTGGGCCGCCAATTGAGTAGCCCAGATGTAGAGAAATATGTCAGAATGGGTTTCATAGCGCAGTGCTTTCCTTGTCCAGTGTGAAAGCTGCTTCCCACCACACAGTGCTAAAAGGAGAATAACTGCATTTCCAGCTTTTATTTCCCTCTTTTAGGCAAAACCTTGCAATTTATATAAAATAGCAATTTCTACTGATCATTCTCGGTGGCTCAATCAGGTGCAAATCACTTGAAACCTTGATCTCACAGCTGCACAGACCCTGGTGTAGAACAACATTATTAGCGGAATATGTCAGTCACTGTCTTTGAGACATTTTAGCTTACACTTTCTTTTTTTTTAAGTGAAAGAAAGTGGACACCAGTGGTGGAAAGGGTACTGAAAAATCATACTTAAGTAAAAGTACCATTACTTGCCTAATATTATAGTACCAGTAAAAGTATTTGGTGTAAATATTACTCAAAGTATGAGTAAAAAGCCCTTTCAAAGTACTCAAGAGTAGTGAGTATTACGCTGTAAAAAGCTGATGCATTTACATGTAATTTTAGGATGTGTGTGAACGTAACATTCTGTAGTGTATTTAGTTATTTCTGAGCAAGCACACAACATCATATGACATTAAAATTAGATTAGATTTAGGTTGTGATGTCAGTTGACCAAAATTCTATGTCTAGCTAGCTTCTAAGGACAATGTTATTTTAATGTCCAAAAATGACATTGATATTTGGTTGATTTTAGGTTGTGAGAGAGAAAGTGACCAAAATCCAACGTCAAGCCGAAATTTTAACCCAATGCCATTTTGACATCAAAAGCTGACATTTATTCGTCAGGTCTGGAAACCAAAACCTAACATCTGATAGACGTCATAGTGGTAACGCCCACACAACGTCAAGCTGTAACATCATTAGACTTTCATATGTGGTTGATTTTAGGTTGGACATTGGACATTGACATCGGCCTGACGTTGAGTTTGACATTAACCCAATTTTCTTTTCCAAACAAAAATCTCCATGATGGTGTAAAGTTGACGCACAACGTCAATCTAAAGTCATGTTGACTTGGGAGGGTGGGGGGGTGTTTTAGGTTGGAGACAGGAGATAGACCAAAACGGGAGATGGGTCTGAAATACGGGAGACTCCCGGGAAAAAACAGGAGTGTTGGCAGGTATGCTTACATCTGGCCCACATACCGCATGGAATGATGGCACTTGGGCAGTCTTTTCCCATTTGCCAGAGCTGGGCCACAATTAAGCCATAGCAATATCACATATCAGCCAGAATTGAACCAAATGAACCAGAACTGACCCTATTCTGGGCGACAATTCGCTTTTATTCGGGCCCACACCAGACACTTACATCTGGACATCATACTGAATGGCTCTAGGGCAGTCCGCTCCTATTTGTCAGATCTGGGCCACAAATAAGTCAAAGCAATACCACATACACTATTAGCCAGAATTCCACCAAATGAACTAGAACTGACCCTATTCTGGGCCACACTTTGCTTTTATTGTGGCCCAGATCTGGCCTACACCTTACACTTGCTGGGTGTGGCAAAGTACAAAAATCCCAGCATGCATTGCAGTATGAATACATTATATAGCTTATTGATGCTCCAGTTTTTATCATTCGATTTTGATTCTGCCATTTACGTTGACGTTGTTAATTTTGTCACTTTTATTCTTCTGTTTGTGACTTCTTTTGCTATTGTCACCGTTGTTGAGGTTCATTCGCTGATTATTGATGTATCTTTGAGCAGAAGTTGAACCATAGAATTTCTTTAGCTTAAAAACCTTCATATAGCTATAAACCTTGGTTAACATCAGTGTTTTATAATATTTCATTACAGGTTGTTATTCACTTAATTTTTACAGTTTTTTATATATATAAAATAAATAAAATAAATTTTATTGCCCAAAAGAAAATTTATATTAAGAGGTTTAGGGTTATGAGCCCAACTAAAGCTAACATTTTTCTCCATGATGGTGACTTTAGTCTAAGGGGTTCACATATGTTTTAAGATAACATCTTCTCTGGGCCACTATATGCTAACGGCTCCATTAGCCAGAGTTTACAGTGCTGAATATTTGCCAAACTGGCCCACATATGTTTTAAAATAACTGGGCCACATTTGCCAGATTTTCTCTGGGCCACAGCCTCAGTAGACAGAGTTTACTGTGCCAAATATTTGCCAAAGTGGCACACATATGTCTTAAGATAACTGGGCCACATTTGCACTTACACGTGTGAGCCACTTTAGGTTTAGACCCAGATTACCCTTAAATGACTATGCCACATTTTTGCCAACTGTGGCCCACATTTGTCCTCCATGATTTGGCCAGAATTTACCATTTTCCAGATGGGCCACATTAGGCTCACATTCAGATTGCATTTTGCCATAAGTGCCAAATCTTTGACTTAAATGGCCCATATATGAATTTCAATCTTTGGCCCCCCTTTCCCATTGTACAGATGGGCCACTTCAGGCTCGCATTCATTTTGTCTGGGCCGAAGGAATATCACTAGTGCCGCATAACTGCCTAAAGTGGCCCTCATTTGTACAGTATGCTCTCTGGGACATCATCCATCTTTGCTGTTGTTGTTGTTGTTGATAGATAACCAGGTCTACCCTTTTTAGCAGTACTTCATTTACAACATACTCAAAAGCATAGTTCCCCAAAAATAAAATAATTTACTCAAAATTCATTTGTTTCAAACATAATTTGAGTATGTTCAACACAAAAACACAGGTGTGCTTGAACCACTGACCAATTCATAGTGATTTTTCCTACTTTGGATGTCAATGCCTCATGATTTCCAACATTCTACAATATATATATATATATATATATATATATATATATATATATATATATATATATATATATATATATATATATATATATATATATATATATATATATATATTTTTTTTTTTTTTGTGTTAAAAAAAATTAATAAAGGTTTAAAATCACTTAAGGGTTAGTAATTTGAGGTCAACTATCCCTTTAACAATACAGAAGAGAACTTCTGTTTCAAAAAAAGTAAATTGTGCTTATTCTTCATAGGCTTGCATTTGGTGCTTATAAGCACTTTCAACAATAAGGACGCACAAAAATAAGGAGATGTAAAAGTTTTGGTTGTTCATACCGCTGATCGGGGTGGTGCAGGCAGCACACTTCTTGGCATACAGATTGCAGAAGCAGTTGAGGCAATAGGGAAAGTCATCACGAGAGGTGAAGCGCTGGCCAGACAGCTGCTGCTTACAGCCAGTACACAGGAAGCAGTCTTTATGCCAGGGCTGGTCGTGATAGGTCACGCCCCCGGTGGTGATTGGCTGAGAGTGAACAAATTTAAATTTTATTTGTCACAATACACATTATATGCAGTAAAATGCTTATACAACCACCAGTGACCTTCAAAAAAGGTTATATTATTATCATAAATATATTATCATTAAGTTTATAAATTATGGAGTATAAATACAAACAAAATTCTGGAATATATAATTATAAGTTATAGCTATATAACAAAATAAATATAAAAAAAACTTAGCTTTACAAACAAACGTAGAGAACATAGAAGTGTTTTTAATAAAGTGCCTAGTGCATAGAGAGAAAGCACATCCGACAGGTGGTTTGTCAAGCCCACTCACCTACATGAAGCACACTCAGAACTACACAATATTTGATTGAGGTTTGATGTCATTTATTACTTTTTACATATTTAACGTGTCAAGTTGTGTTCCAGCTGTTACCTTCTTGCATTGCACACACTGCAGAGCAAACTGCTTCTCGTAGCACGGCACACAGTAGTTACTGTTGTCCTTAGGAATGAAGCTCTTGGTTCCAATGGGCTGCTGACAGCGCTGGCAGGTAAAGCAGGTCTCATGCCAGCTGTTCCCCTTATGCTCCATCTTCCTGGAGCCTGAGAGAAACAGAGGAAAATGCAGACAGACAAATAAATTACTTGTCTGGATAATAGCCAGGATGTACAGTACATAGCCTGTGCATCTAAGGGTTCACACAAAAAAGTATCATCTTTTGCAATTTAATCATAATGTATTCAAGTTCTTATGAGGAGTACAAAATGGTGTAGCTATAAAAAATGTGCATGGGTGTGTTCGCTTTTTAGATTTGTATTTAATTTATGAAGGTGCTAAAAATGTAATTGTTAAATATATATATATATATATATATATATATATATTTTTTTTTTTTTTTTTTTTATTAGTATATTTCTGTGTTCGGTTGTTAAGGCAACTTGTAAATAATAATAACAATAATAATCCGTTCGGACATGTCTGCAAACATCCAAACCAGAAAGTCTTTACTGTAGTTGATGTGCTGTTTGAATGTGCATTGATCAATGTCATATGTAAATGAAATCTTATTAAACCTTCTTCATATGTGTCCATAGACCACAAAAAAAGTCATAAATGTATTTTTTTACCCCCAGGGGTCTAAGGGTGTTTTGTGGCCATGGAAAAGTTTTGACATGCACTGACATTTGTGTTATCTTTAGTATCTTAAAAACATATTATTGGCTAAATTGTGATAACACTGTAAACAGAACAAGCTAGGCTACAATAATATCTAAGCAGCATGTTTGTATGTGTTTTTGGGAGAGAAACGTTTATGCGTGGTTAGCGAAAAACAAAAATTTTGGAGTCACTGAAACAAGGCCATGAAACACATAGAGACCATTTGTTCACAAGACTTTTGAGAACTGGATCTTGTAGCCTAGTTTTCTGAGGCCGTACTCACACTATGTACAGTTGCCTCGAACCAGGCCAAAGCACGCTTGTCCCCCCTCCCGTCTCCCCCGACGGCCTGCACTCACACTACAATCGGGCCTGGGCACGCTTACGTCATCGATGATGCGCTGTTCAGTGAGCGTTCTCGCTCAGCACAGAGGAGATTTCTCTAGTTATATCGTTTCAGTCGTTTGATATGCAGTGTCATGCAGTCAAATATTTCGCCAAACAGTCCTTAGGGATGCGGTGACACGCAGTCAGATATTTCGCCGAACAGATCCGCTACTTTTGGCGCTCATAAACAGTCATAAAGCCCTCGTGCTGCAGGAATGAGGTTTGCTGAAGGTGCGCAGCTGTTGTGCAGTGAGGGGTTTGCGTATTTAATAAACTACGGCAGTTTGCGTTCATTGAACAGTAAGATTGATTAATAAATCCATATGAAACAGCCCCTTAAAAGTCACGTCTCGCTTTCAGTTTCAGGCTTTGTCGCGTTTTGCACTCACACTACAAGCATACCGCGCTAAAGCCCAAGTGAACCACGCTCAGGCCCACCTCTTCCAACCGGGCCAGGACCAGCCAAGAGAACCGTGCTTGAACCCGATTCAGCGCACTCACACTTCTCAAACGAGCCGGGAAACGGGCCTGGGCAAGGTACGGATGGCATAGTGTGAGTAGGCCCTGAGTCACTTTTTGAGTGAAAATGGTCTATGCGAGAAAGCGTGAACTATCATCACTGATGCAGTGATTAATTCTTGAAAAGACAAAGACCTGCATAATGAGCTGCATGAAGAGCCATCAGACAGGTACAGTATGTGACTAAGAGGGAAAAGTTTCAAGAAAGAAAATGAGAAAGAAATAAGGTTTTTTTTATTTGCAGTTTGTTTAAAATATATTTAACTATCACACAAAATAACTTGCGATTTATACACAGAATTTAATAACGTAAGGTTTTGTGTTTCAGGGTGACGGGGAGATTGCGTCTCTTTAGAGGACTTAAATTTAACTATTTCGTCATATGAATTATTTTTTTTATTTTAACTTTTAAAAATGTCAAAATTTTGGTGAAAATCTTCCTAGTTTCGTAGAAAATATGCATATTAGTGTTTCAAAAACAAACCATGAGATGTGATTGTTTTTTGTTGTTGTTTTTTTAATAATAATAATTTGTTATTTTATTTTTGGTAAATTTTTATTTAAGTTTATAGTATCCTTTTAAATCAAAGTTTGGTGCCCAAATTTGGTCCTGGAGAACAAGTTTTCTGCAGAGTGTAGCTTAATCTTACGTTTCAAGCAACTAGTAAGAGCTTGATTAGCCAGCCCAGTTGTGTCTGATTGAAGATTAAACTAAACTATACAGAACACCAGTGCTGCATCTCAATTCACATAAGCTGCGTCTCAAATGGCACAAATACACTATGCACTCATCCACTATGTACATATGCACTTACACACTCAACAGCATATTATATGTATGTAGTGTCATCTCAAATGGAGCACTAATGTTTTTTACTGAGCGGAAATTCAAACAGTTTTGACGGTTGCCAAATCAGTGAAATAAATGACCAAACTATCAAATAATACCGGCCATCAGTGTAACCGCAGTCACCATCGGGAGGCGCTATAATCACTCTTGTAAGAGAATTTTGCTTTTACTATCCAAAATAAATAAAGTTATCCAACATGTGTGCCCGAAAGCTCGGCCCCTTCCGCTACACGAGCAAACCTGTGGTCGTTGAGCAACAAAGCTAATGCGAATCCGCCTCTATTATGAAGTAAATTTCACGCATGAATGAAACAAGTAAACTTAAAATGCTCACGCGTCTAATAGGGTATATGCCGAGCTAGTGCTGTTCCCATGCTCATACACTTCCGGTGACCTGTAATTGTGAACTTTTTTCCATTTTATACGGTTCCTTATACAGCATCGATGTTATAATGTCATTAAAATACATTCAGTTAAATAAACTTTAGCATTTATTTGGTTGCTCAAGCGTAAAACGAGACAAAAAGCTGTTTACTCGCACGCGCCCGTCAGAATCGGCAGGCTAACGCAGGAGCTCCATTGAATATACTGGGGTAAAATAAATGCTCATATTATAAAGATATGGCGGGGGAAATGTAATTTAATGCAGTGCTTCCTATACAGTCTGAGATCCACTTTAAATCGGACATCACTCAGCTAGTGGAGATCGCTGATTTTTAAAGAAAACAGACCTTAAATGCACCGGATTTTGCATTGGCATTCAATTCGCCGGAAGCACTTAACCCAGGTTACTGGCAAATTAAAAGTCCTATTAGCATGCTTCGGCATATACCCCACAGTCCTGAATGTCAGTCCTCATGAAATTCAGCTATGTGATTGTAATCAGTGGTAAACTGGAACTGGTGTGTTTGAAGTGCATGATGGAGTATGTAGTCCGGTTCAGTAGCGGAAGTGTAGAGTTCCCTCTAGAGTGTCTGGTGGGCGCTTAACTTGGTGACTGTGACAAGGTCGAAATAAGATAATGTGTGAGAATCAGGCCAAGCAAATGTGTTCACTCACCTGGCATGATTGTCTTCTTGCATTCGAAACATTTAGAGGAATACTCATTGGAGTAGCACTCGGTACACAGTAGCTGCTCGTCCTTGGTAGAAAATGGCTTGTCCACAAGAGAACGGTGACATTTGAAGCAGTGGAAGCAGTCGTCGTGCCAGTGCCGGTCTTTATAAGACAGATCCTGAGTAGAGAAACGCATAAAGGTAAAGACTTTGAACCTACATTCTGTCACACCTGCATTAAACCGAATGTGCTTTGCCTCAGTGGCCTTTTTCAGCTTTTGAACATCTAATTAGGGAAAGCGAGAGGGTAAAGGGTTCCTCAATGTCAGCTTCACAGCGGGTCACTCGCCAATGAGAGCCGCAGGTGCTGGAGCCCAGTGTGATCTGCCAATTGGAGTGTGTTAGTGAGAGTCGGTACTGAGCCTCAGGAGGAGTGTATGACACCGGTGGTTTAATTATCCACCAATGTTTGAGAGGGAGAGAGTGTGTGTGTGTGTGTGCTCGTTAAATTGCTGGCCCAGGGTGATATGAGGTCATGCTGATGGGCTGCTATGGGGGAGCGACGGGGAACTGGGCCAAGGACGTGGCACACAGATGTGGCAACACCTCAGGCCTGTCCTCCAGACCAGAGATTCAGCCTTCTCATCAGGACTAATGACCATGTAATATGACACTAATGACAGAAGCTCACAGGAGCCTGTAGAGGGAAGAGCAGGACACCACACACTCTTAGGGTGCTTTTGCATGACAACTATAAATTAAAAATGGAAAGGATTTCTTTTACGTTTTTGGGAAGTTTGGGGTATAGATGACAATGTTTTCAAAATGATTACATGGTTCAAGTGATTTAAAATGCTGTGTTAAACATGTCTGGGTAGTAGGTGCTTATTTTATAATGCGCATATGGTCCTGTAGCCCTCTGTTGTAGTAGCTGTCAAGTAATCATGCATGCCAATGAGAAATTTATATTTATGCAGATGATGAAAACTTTTTCCACTCTACAGAATCTTTTGTGCAATGGAAAGTTTTCATAAATATTATGCTCGTTTACCAACAAATAACTTTTATACAATTAATAACACATTCATTTACAGTACGTTCAATTTGTTAACATTAGATAATATAAAACATTCTTATAACATGTTTATAAATCTAATTTAATATTCATTTTAAAATGAAAAACAATTTTTGAATTTAAATAACTAGTATTATTAAATGAAAGTAATCATGAACTAGCAATGAACGGCTTTTTATGAACAAAAACATTTAGAGTATATAATAAATGCTATACCATATGTACTGCTCATTAATATCAGTTAGTAAAGATAGTAAAGCATTTCTGGGTTAGTTTATCTATAAATAAAAACTCAGTCATCATTTAATTTCCAAATCCATAAATGTCCAGTACACTTTGACTACCACTAATTCCTTTAATATCAACTCAAAATTATCTTTATTGTAAATTGCATGCATTTTACATTATTCATTTAATAATTAATTGACATATATTGTTTTGAGTGGTTTAACCAAAGTCTTCATGAGAGAGTCACTTGGTATGATAATATATAGAGCCCCCTAAATTATTAGACCCCCCCTCCCTTTTTTTCCCCCTCCAATTACTGTTTAACGGACAGCAGATTTTTTAAACACATTTCTAAACATAATAGTTTTAATAACTCATCTCTAATAACTGATTTATTTTATCCTTGCCATGATGACAGTAAATAATATTTGACTAGATATTTTTCAAGACACTTCATTACAGCTTAAAGTGACATTTAAAGGCTTAACTAGGTTAATTAGGTTAACTAGGCAGGTTAGGGTAATTAGCAAAGTTACTGTATAGTGATGGTTTGTTCTGTAGACTATCGAGAGAAAAAAAATAGCTTAAAGGGGCTAATAATATTCATGACATTGATGAATACTGTAAAAATTTCCTTGCACTGTAAAGCATAATTTGGGAAATATTAAAAAAAGAAAAAAAATTAAAAGGTGGGCTAATAATTCTAACTTCACCTGAATAAATTGCTGTATAGAAGTGTCGTGAAAAATATGTTTTATAATATTATGTACTGTCATCATGCCAGAGATAACATAAATCAGTTATTAAAATGTTTTCTCTGTTAAACAGAAATTGGGGGAAAAATAAACAGGGGGGCTAATAATTAGGACTTCAACTATATATATATATATATATATATATATATATATATATATATATATATATATATATATATATATATATATATATATATATATATATTAGGGATGCACAATATATCGGCGCCCATATCGTTATCGGCCGATAAACGCTATTTTTAAGATTATCGTTATCGATCCGATGTCTAAATTAGGCCGATATATTTAAGCCGATAAATTACGTAATTGTACAGACCTGCGTACCGCGCTCGCAAGGCCGGAACTTGTTCAGACTTGTCCAGTGCACTATGGAGCTCTCCTTTATTCCTTTAAAGTCTGTCCTTTCTTCACGTGGCATTGCTGTGCGTTAATAACTCAGTAAGTAACCACTTTCCTTATCATTGTAGATGTGCTTGATTGAGAGTCATTGTGTATTTTGCTTAAAATCGCCTCAGGAAAAATATTACATGTGTAAACCTTTCCTGCTATGTCTCTTTGTTGTGTTAAGAGATATCAGGGGAGATTCACTTATTACTCCAGGGCCGAATAATATTAGTTTCAGGGTGAACTCTTTTCGTTGCACCTGGTGAATGAAAGAGGACACATGTACCTTGGTCCAAAATATTTAGTACTTTCCGTGTGGTACAACAAGTAAGTCACCAAAGAGGAAACATCACAGAAAATGGTGTCATTGCTTAAAAAACGCTCCTCTTTTCTCTCTCCCTCTCCCTCTGTCTCACACACACCCCAAACCGCAGCCCAGTCCAGTTGAAGGACCCGCACATTTTACAACATCTATAAACATAACGGTTGTTTGTAGTCTGATTATTTGTTATTATCAACGCGTTGCTTGTCATGTGTTGTTGATGTAAGATGTATTCAGTTTGATCGGAATATTCATATTGATTATAACGAGGGCGAGCTGTCACCGCACACACACTGTAGCACGGGGGAGAGGCGAGAGGTGAATCCAGTCAAAGGGGCTCTTAACTAGCTGCTCATTCTGTCTTTATATTCTGCTCTGTGTTTGTCATAAAGTCAGCTCAATGCAGGTTTTGTATCAAAATCTGACTCTGATGGCAACTCTGCCTCTACAGTTGAGTAAAACTCTCAGCGGTTTATCATAAACTTTTCATCGATCATTTTCCCACGATTGACGGCAAGAACGAGCGCAGAAGCAGAGTGTCTGATTGACAAGCAGCAGCTACATGTGATACGTCAAAACGCCAAATAGGAGGAATCTGTGCCGCATTTTCTAAACGTACTAAAACGTACTATCTGTATTTAGCTGTTGGCTTGTACGGTGGCTCTAAACTGTCAAAACACCTCTGATAAAGGCTTTTTCAGACATGACATATTTGTACATGAGTACATCCCTGTAACATGTTTTATTCATGACCATTTGAGCTGGTTTCAGTCCTTAGCTCTTTCATTTTCATCTTATTTAAATATATTTATCTTGCTTGTTAATTAAATACCATTTTGTTGTTTGAACTATTATTTTTATGCAACAATCAACTTGCATGTTAATTTGCTATAAAGAAAAGGAAATATTTTTTTGCATGCTGATTTATGTGAAATCGTGAATATAGGTCTATAATTTAAAATATTTATGATTATCGGCCTATACATATCGGCTATCGGCCTCCAAGTCTGAAGAATTATCGGTTATCGGTATCAGCCAAAAAATCCATATCGGTGCATCCCTAATATATATATATATATATATATATATATATATATATATATATATATATATATATATATATATATATATATATATATATATATATATATATATATATATATATATATATTTTTTTTTTTTTTTTTTTTCACACATATAAACACTTGTGGAGTTTTGGTTGCACTGTCTTTTAATGAATAGACAAAAATTTTAATAAAGAGTGATTCCAGTTGACCATGGAACACAATATACCATACACAAATGTCAATGTTTTGAAATTGAGAAATCACCAGAAAGATGAATTAATAAGCTTTACATTAATGTTATTTGTCTAGATAAGACAATATTTCTTTGTATTTGAAAATCTAGAAGCTAAGGGTTAAAAACACAAAATACTGAGAAAATAGCCTTTAAAGTTATCTTTATGTAGTGCTTAGCAAAGAATTTCTAATCAAAAATAATTTCTGATATATTTACGGTAATAAATTTACTAAATATCTTTATGGAACATGATCTTTACAAGAAAAATCAACAATCACTGTCTATTGCCAAAAATAAACCCACACAACATAAGTTTGTAACGATGCAGAGGATTGTAAATGATGACAGATTTTTTTTTTTCATTTTTCCATCGAAGGTTAACTGTAACTGTAATATGTTTGTATTCATAACTCAGGGTTCAAAAGTGATGCTTATCTTAATAGTTTCAAAGCATTTGTCAAGCTTAATGTAAATGTCTAATAAGCTGATTATATAAATTATCATAAATTATGTAACCATTACAAACACTGGGCGTCATGGTGGCGCAGTGGGTAGCATGATCATCTCACAGCAAAAAGGTCGCTGGCTGGGTCAGTTGGCATTTCTGTGGAGTTTGTGTGTTTTCCCCGTGGTAGCACGGGTTTCCTCCGGGTGCTCCGGTTTCTCTCACAGTCCAAAAACATTTGGCATAGGTGAATTGGGTAAGCTAAATTGGCTGTAGTGTATATGTGTGAATGAGAGTAATTAAGTAATGTAAGTAAAAATATATCATTTATTTTACTTTATTTCTGGTGAGTTAATAATTAAGCAGTTTTAGCATTTTAACATTACATTTTGTATACATTTGATCTTGTTTGACATGTTAGAACATGGAAAGTAACTAAAATAAATGTCTTTCATGAAACAAATTAATTAAATTTCATGAAACAAATACACCAGTTCATGGACGATAATGAGAGCTGCTCTTTGAAGAGAGAAGTAGATTGTATTTCAGAAATCTAATTAGACTAAATTAAACAAATTAACTGTTTAAATTTTTTCCAGTGATGGGTTGCAGCTAGAGGGGCATACGCTGTGTAAAACATGTGCTGG